AGTAAAAATACCAAATAAATACATCATCAAATTCATAAGATAATTAAGCAAATAAATAGCTGATCAACTTGATTAATTGTTTGATGGCAGTCTAGAGTGTGACAGTGAGCAAGACATAAATATATGCATATCACTGAAATATAATATACCAACATACAAAAGCTTATAGCCATCATAATTAAATAAATAGGAAACTGAGCATGAGATTCTTATCTTGGCAAGCAAATGTAGCAATTAATGAAATATGAATAGTAATAATAATGCATATCAATAATTAACACCCTAATGCATATCAATAATTATCACCCCAAGCTGTACATTCATCTCTTTTTCTTGGATAATTCTGATAATGACAATAAAATGTTGCTACTGCTAGTAATATCACATAAGATTTAAAGATGTGATATTCTATATGATATATGACAATAATAATTATCCTTGGCCATGAAACAGTAGCTAATCTGGTTCCCCTCACAAGACCATCGGAATATTTCTATAAACTGCATATGTGAGTCATTGATAATAAGGTTCCAATACAAAATTATCAGTTAAAACTTCCGCATGCTATGAAAAGGAGCTCTTTTGGAAGTTATTATTTATCTCAGGGTGCTGAGTGCTGGGGAACATGTATATGCATAAATGTACATTATCATGTTAAAACATATTCCCTGAATCCACAAAAATCCCAGGATTCACCCATAAAGAATAAAAATACACATACTTATCACAGGCCAAGGTAACTTATATGCTCACAAGCTCCAAAAATGGTCCTGAAAATAAGGAGTATAAATATCAACTTTTAATCTAGCTCATCTTTGAACAAAACAACAACTTCATTTAATCACTATCAACACATACCACCTCATCTTGGAATGTTTGTAAAAGATGCCGTATATTCTAAACACTTAATTGGTAAAATAATTTGTTTGCTGAATAATGTACAGTATACATCTAAACCCACTTTTGTCCACAATCAAGAGAAAAAAAAATTAAGCCAACCCTTAATAAAATAAGCATCATTCCAATAAACAAAGATTTACACTAATTGCAAATGAATCAACTGAAAAAAGAAATTGTTAAGAAGAAAGACATTAACAAATGACTGACATTTATAAAAATAGTTTTCCCCAATGTAAAATCTTATTTCTGTGGCTCTTCATGAAGTGATAGATTACTATGAGATTCCTTTTCCCCAAATAGACATACATTTTATTATCATGAAACAAGGTTCAGCTTAAAAATACTTAAATTATAATTGTACAAAACCCTTACTGTTTGCTGCAATGTTTATTTGTCAAATTATTTTTTAAAACTATCAACAAAATTTTGTCTTAGCTCTACAACAGTATCAATCTGGCATATATGACTGCAAAAATGACCTAGATAAGAAGTAGATTAAGAAAATATTTTCCACAAGAACAGTGACCTTCACCAAGAAAAACATCCTCTCTTCTGGCAGAGACAAAATAAATGAATACATAAATAAATTAAGAATGCTCCAATATTCCCAGGAAGAAATAACCTCCTCCAGTGGGTGAAAATATTGCTCCTTTATAGGTCCCTGTCTGTATATTCTGTCCTCGAAAAAGAGAAATCGTTTTTCAGATAAGCAAGATCATCATATTCTCTTTTTCGATATCTGGAAAAGAAGGTATAGTGTTACCATGACAACAGGTCATCACCATAAAACAAGCCAAGCAATAATTATTAAACTGAAGCCATTGCGTAAAAATAGTGCATAAAAATCTGCCCAGAGCTGAAAAAATTTTGATTAAAATAAATAATTTTTAAATTTTTTAAAAATAAATATTTAGAAATTTGTCACACTTTTTCATTTTCTAATGTCTCTGATTGGCTTGTGGCATGAATTATAGTCAAATGATGTTGACAAAAATGTAAGCCTCAAAAGCCAACATGAAGGCAAGTTGCGTGCTTTAAGCAAAAAAAAAAAATCTGTTTAAGAATGACAAAAAATGCAATCAGGTACTTTTTCATGGCTTATGGTCAATAATTTTTATTTCTTTAAAATACACTGATAGATATCAAGTACTCACTTTTTGCAAATACACACTCCTACAATAACCAGTACCACTACAATCAACAGTCCTAATATTACAAAACCAGCATTGACTCCACCACCTGAAACATAGATTTCTGCTGTAAATTGGTGTGACAATATTTTTAAATATATTTATTTTTTATTTTCAAATATTTTTTTTTTCATTTTTAAATATTTTTAAATATTTCATAAAAGAAATACGTACAGAGCACTTAAGACGCCCCAACCCAGTATTTTATTCTTTTCTTTTCACTTTGAGGCTTTGTTCACATGCAATGTCTATTTTCTAAATTCTATTTTCTATTCGCGGTATGTCTTATGATCAAGGTCTGTGCCCCGAATATCCCGCGGCGTAATTACTGGCAGCGCGAGCCAGTTACTATAAGTAACTGGCTCGCGCTGCCAGTAATTACGAGGCAGGATATTCAGGATACAGACCGTGATCATAAGATAGCGCGAATAGAAAATAGAATTTAGAAAATAGACATTGCATGTGAACGAAGCCTGAGATAGGGCTCATAAATTAAACAACCACTTTGCTTGAAAAACAAAAGAGGGGAGGAGGGGAGGGGAGCCCTGGGCACTTTTGATTACTCTAAACAGATTAATTCCATATTAATAAAATGACAATTTATGACAATTATCATAATATATACTCACTCTGCGGGTGTAAGGTTGGAGACAAAGTTGAAGATACTGATGAAGTTGTACTCTCGGGTGGCGATGTTGATGTAGTCAGCTGGTCAAACATGGTCAAAGTTCTCATAGCTGCCCAGGATCCATTATTAGCTGCTGCTTCTATCCCAAGTATCTTACACATTACCTGATACACGTCTGTGTTATTGATGAGATCCACTTTAGAGTTGGCGTTAAAATCTGAAGTGTTGACAAACAGTCTAACATACAATGTCTACATTCTATAATTGCCCCTATCAGTGTTCATGTTCAAAATGATTAATTATGGGGGCTTAAAATCCTTGGAAAGAAGGGGGATGTGGTCTTTCTCTTTTTGTAAATTAATTACTGGGAGTGGAAATGAATCAAGTTTTGCAAGAGTTGTAGTTGAAGGTTCAGCCCCCTCACCCCCCAATCACCCAAACTTCTTTTGGGATAACTTACTGGGTCCTATGGCATAAAAGATGGCATGCATATCACTTTCTGTGTTGTCATACCCATGATATCCTCCCAAATTCCGAACAACAGTTTTATTATGTTCATCTGTGTCATTAAAAGTTGGCAAATTTGGAGATGCAAACTGAAATAAAGAACAAAATCAATGTCCATTTTACTAGGCATCAATCATATGTACTCAGTGTAAAAGGTTCCTTCCTGACCACACTCAGCTCAACTGGTATCATAGACTGGGTTCCCACAGATTTAGAGCGATCCATCTGGATCAACCTAACTCCCTGGGGGTCCACGCTACATTGCTGTCAGCCGAGCATGCACGTAAGCCAATTACCCCCTTACAGCCTTTAGTAGGCAGCTAGGAAAGACATTTAAGCCAGCTAAGCTGACACCAATCTAGCGAGACTCCCCACGGGGATAGATTGATCTAAAAATCTGTGGGAATGCAGTCATAAGATCACTTATAGGAAGACCCTCCAAAAGTTATCATTAGAATTACATATCATAATATCAACTTTACATGTATATTGAGACAATTAATAGTTTTCCATTTAAAGCCAAGGTAATCTTACATATGTTCATAATAAAATATGGTTTTCAACATATTCTATGAATGCCTAGAAAGAATTCATGTTTTATTCTACACTGTAAATCATACCGAATTGATATAGTAGCCAATATCTGCCATGACGACAACTGGAGCAATCCGTCTGTGATTTTTATAAAAGAAACGCTCTGGAATATCCTTTTTCAGGTAAGCTGTAAAATTTCTCTCCCCCCATGAGTCATTGTTCAACTTGTTCACTAACTGAAAATAAAACCAATTGAAAATATTACAATATTATAAAAATATTACAATATTATAAAAGAAAGGCTCCGGAATATCTTCCTTTTGGTAAGCTGTAAAATGTCTCTCCTCCAATGAGCCGCTGTTCAACTTTTTTACTAACTGAAAAAAAAATCAAAATATTGAAGAATGAGGATTTGTGATATGATTGCTTTCTTGTATTTTCAGGTTCTTGTAGGAGTTCAACTTTTTAAGCTTTGGATGCCACTTGAAGCAATTTAGGAGGCTAAATCAACACCTACCAGCCTAGATCATGATCGAATAAGGTGTCCTTACAAAAACCAAAACAGCGGAGAACAGGAATTCTGACTTTCACTCTACACAAAAGACAGTTTTACAGTAACCAAGTGATTGATCAACTGGTTAAATTCTTACCTGGCAAAAAAGATATAACTGGTCATCTGACTTACCTCTGCTGGATCTACATGTATTTCTGGCCAAATTTCTACATTTGCACCAACATCTAATGAGCCCTTGATGGGAAAACTGACCAGGTCACTCAAGTCCATCCTCTCGGTCAAGTTTATACCCTTAGTGAAGGATGTCATTCCTGGAAGCAATTCAGATTATATACCTGCAATATGAGATCTATGGAGGGTGTTAATGTTTTCACTGAATATAATCATGACCAGATATCAAAAACATCCATGCTTGACTATACATCCTATCATAATTTTTTAATCACTTATATTAATTGTTGCATTCCTACTATATCTTTGTTAATTAACTCCATGATCAATGAAATGTGGCAAGAACTGAAAAGCAATATTGTTATCTGCTCAGGACACCGTTCTTGTTGCAGTTTTAATTATACAAGTACATGAGACAGTCTTCAGCTTATTCTTCTGTACAGTTATTTCACAGAAACCCTGCAGATTGATGCTCAAACCTCTAACAATACCAAATAAGAACCATGGGAATTTTTTTATACTTTTTTAAAATTACTTGGTTATTTTTAAACCAAGTTGACAAATTACAAATGGCATTACAGGATTACAACTGCATGACTTTGAAAGGCATACATATATCTTGTTCACTACTGTTCAAAACAGTTACATTCAAATCACATACACAAGTACATTTGCAAAAGATAGGCTGAGAAAAATAATCAAAAACCCAATGTTTTTAGAAACATTTCACAAAACAACTACTCGCCATGATCGGCCAGTATGATAATATTCAAGGTTTCCCTCATGTCGCTTGTAATGTTCAAAAGTTCAGCTACTGCACCATCTAACTCCTTTAGGATGGAATTCAACTTAGTGCCATTAGGGCCGTACAGATGTCCAAGATGGTTAACTGAACCAAAGAAGACACCTGAAACACAACACAACAAAGACTTGTCAAACTGACCAGAAAAATCATAAAGACATCTAAATAATTCTTTTCAACAAAGAAAGTAAATTCCCTGAGCAAACAAATATTTGACATGCTACATGTATTAGAAGTCTAGCTGGGATATAACAAACTTTCACCTACCCACAAAATCTGCTGAATTATTCCTCAGTGAAGCTACAGCCTCCTTAATGTCTTCTTTCAGGCTGGCGCCATTTTGTAAAGGTTCTGCAGAATACTCCCTACACACGGAGGGCTTGCGTCCATGTATACTGACATTACATGTTGGCCAGGATAAAAGAAAGCTTTTCTTGCGCTGTTTAAAACAGAAATTGTGTGCACAAAGCTCAAATTTATAAGTATACTAAACAAAACATGAATCTGTACCAAATGAACAGGCTGAGCAATCATTTGTAAGTAAGTAAAAGAGAAATCAGTTTCGTTTTTTTTTTACTTGAGGAAAAATCAATTATCTTCCCACATAAGATGAATTTTAAAGCACTTCCAAATTTTAACTTCTTTGCATACAGACCTAGGAAAACAAAGCGAGTTTTGGTATATACATCTCTTTGAGCCAGTAAATATTTGAACAAGAGGTTTGGCAGCAAAAGCACAAATCATTTCTTTTCTGGAGGGAAGAGGGTAGCGGGGTAGAAATGTGCCCCTTCAGTTTAATTCTCAATATACCCTTGACATACAAAGCAGTATGTTTAAATAGCTAGGATCTATAAAACAAAAATGTTACACTAAAACAGCTTTGAACCTACATGTAAAAATCTCAATATATCTGGATTTAAATATGCCAGTTAGATCTGGAACAGACCAAGTTTTCATTAAGTACCAATGCAGCCTTGCCGACAAAGGAGACACCAGCTGACCATGCAGTGAGTAATCCTCACATCTCCTTCACTTACCTGTCTCTCAACACCAATCCACAATGGTTCAGCATCCTCCCACCAGAATGAATCATAGGACTCTGGGTTCCTGCCCATGTCAAATGTTTCATTTTTGACTGCATCATACATACAGTTTGATACTATGCCATGGTTCTCACAGTGTAAACCTGAAACAAGGAATTAACTGTTTAAAGAATTATCATAATTACCGTGTTGATCTTGTTTAATAAATAAATAGATTAAATTGAAAATGCATCTGTTAAGATCAACTTAATATAATTGGTATCAAGCACTTGAGCTTTCGCCTTATCTGTCCTCTTTTGTTACTAGATATAAATTTGATAAACATCAAAGCTCATCACTAAAAAGTTTTTAAATTTTACAATTCAAAAGACACCTTTACTTATAGCTTAAAGTACTGGCTTTCTTAAAATGTACAGTAAGTGTAATTAATGTTTTGCAACAAATAATTTAGGGCCAATATTACTGTATACTGAGGTAATCCTGTTTTTCACACTGACAGGTACCTGTGCACATTAATTGGGTCCAGAAGTTTCCAAGTCAGATTTATTTGGTTCTTTATGTACTCCATTCTAGATTACAGACACATATATCTAAGCAAAATACCCTAATTTTTGCCCAAAGCAAAAGTCATTGAAAAAAAAAATGAAACAAAGAGTGAAAGACATCCTGCATCCACATGAACACTTAACGCCATCTGCATTTCATGGTTAAAAAAATGACTCAAGAGTGACTCAAGACGTTTGCGAAAAGACTCATAACCGGATACATCATACATGTGGCTATTAATTATTAAAGCGGGAGGTGCATTTTTCTACCTGTAATATATCACGCATGCAGTAACTGGTAGCACAACGATCACCAGGCAACGACTCGATGCTTCCTTTCGTGCACGGATTCTTAATACAAGGACCGTTATGCTAAATAACGCACTGTCATAAAGAACGTTACATACCTGTCATAATAGAATAATAATTTGGATAAGATGAGCTCGGAAAATTGGGTCGCATTTTCGTCGCACGGGCACCTTGTGTTTCTATCTGTTTAAAAGCAGGTAGATTCTCTCTGTCGGCGTAATCCCATCTCATGCCGTCCACGAGTAGAAGTAGTAGCTTGTTCGCTGACAGGGTTACCCTCAGCGAGCAAGATATACACAGAAATTGAAAAACAAGTAGGCGCCATCGCTGAGAACTCACCATTCTGTCGTGTTGTCTTGTTTCTATTATTTCTTTACAGGTCAGGTCAGATGAAGGAAAAGGTGAAAGTCGTGACGTCACAATTGTTTCACTTTTATTTTTTGTTTATTTATTTTTTTATTTTTGATGAATAAAATGATTATAAGTTCCAACACAGGTTATAAAAAATATATATTTGGTTAAAACATCAAACTGTTTTTAAAATCAATCTAAACAACGACAGCCGTCTTTCCATTTGTTCGTTCTGTGAATTTATAAAAAAAAAAATAATGGAAAAGTAATCCATATTATGAGCCTATATTCTTATCTTACCACGTTGATTATGTTGATAGGCCTAATATGTGCAAAGGTAGTGGCGGAGACGTTGGCGTTATTTTAGACCACGGTGGTAGTGAAGAACAAAAGACTCAGACGTGGTGTAACTCGCATAACCGCACGTCTCGCATGAATGCCTTATAACCCGCTAAAACACACAAATAGTATTCATCGAAGCACAGAACCGTAAACACACCTGAAAGCAAGTTAATTAGGCACTGAGCGTTTATAACCACATATGAAGAAAGAAAGAAGAAAAAACAAGCTGTATTATATTTCAAAAGTGATCTTTTTGCCGTTTTTTTTATTATCACAACTTTCTCAATAACAGAATGTATTTCAATTGTTAAATTTTTGTCGTCCTTTTCCGTATTTTGCTTCATTGGAGGTGCCAATAAAGAGCTTGCAGGCTGGGTTGAAGATGAAGTTACTGAAGCGCACGATGCTTTTGAAAGTCAAAATATAGTTATTTCACGAATATTGCATATTTATTTGAAATGTTTTAACAATATTGAAGCAGGGTGCTGCGACTTAAAAGATAATAACGAATGATAAGAAAAATTAAACACACCTGGCGGATAGGAACTGCCATCTTGGCGCTTAATTTCCGTTATGAATCTAGCCAACCAATAGTCCAAAATCTCTAGATTTCCCTCCTCAAGGGTTGGAATAGGCCAGTGAGGGTCGGCCATAGTGACAGTTCTAAAATTACGCCGCAACCATTTTTTCAAATTCAGCGGAATGTACTGGCTCTTCGAACCGCTTTGGTTCTGTGTCGATATCCACCTTATATAACGATTGAGTTGGTAATAAATCTAGCTGAGAGAGGGTGACGTCCCTCTCCGCTCCAAACATGATGAATAGTGTGGTAATGAAGATAGCGGGGTAGTTGCGTGAGTGTGATGTCGTGAACTGTTGTTGAAGTTAATGGACCGTGGTCTAAGTAAGATTTGTCCTTCGTCAGCGAGGGTTCTGTGACATCCACTCGTGCTACGCACTCGTGTATGCCACATAACCCTCGCTGACTCGGGGTCTATCTATTACATAATAAACGAGAACAGTTAAAAAGCAGACGATGCGGATCCAATAGAGCTTGCAGCGGAAATTTGCCCAAATGCAAAAAGTTAGAAGTAGAATAAATCTACGACGAATAGATCCTGACTACGCCGCGGGTGAAAAGGAAGGTATAAATTACCCGACATATGTCTTTTGCGACGAGAGAAAAAAAAGAAGAATAAATACGTTTAGGGATGGTACTGAGTTCAACCAAGCGAAACCGCAAGTGACACGCGCAACCGCCTTTTAATATCAATGTAACCAGTTAAAAGTATAAATATCATGTGGGAACATATTTAGTTTGTATGTACAGGGTTGCTTGTTACTATAAATTAGGCTAAGATGGCTATATATACATGCACTGTACGTCACTTAACGTCATACGGAATTTCAAACTCTCCTGAAAAGTCGCCTAGAGCTACCTGTTGTCAAATTGCCACACGGAAAGTGCAAGCGAGTTGTTATGAAAGTTGCCTTTTGAACTGAGGGTATATTACTGCTGGTGTCAGAAATCACGTGAACTTGCATATTTTGCGTAATTTCATTCAGCCCTACTTGAGTAGAACTTATACGTGATAAACTGTATTAAGGCTGTTCTGTTCGTTTAGCAACGAAATACTGCTTTGTTTGCCTCAGAGTAGAGATGAGTTGCTTTTTTTTTTTTGTACAATAACACGTTTTTTAAATATTACAGGTGTGATTTTATCCGAAAAAAAAAAAAAAAAAACGCTGACGATTGAAACTCGGCCCTGCATAAGTGACTGCAATTAACACATTTTCTAATCTTCAACATAAAGTAAAAAATTGAGTAATTATTATCGTAAATACGACTAAGATGAAAAATTTATACATATACATTAATATAAGAAAACGCCCTTAATCTACTATTCTATTTTTATGGCGGTATATTGAAGCACGTGACACGGACGATCGTCAACATGGACGTGGCGAATGTTGTCAGGGTGTTTATGGCAGGGGACTTGATACTAGGACGAGGAATAGACCAAATCCTACCTCATCCGTCTGACCCAACACTTTACGAAGCCCACACTGGAACGACGGACGCACGGAGCTATACAAAACAAGTCGTTTCGAAAAAAGGAGCTCTGCCGAAAGATCCCAGTTTTGACTACATCTGGGGTGATGCGTTGGATATTTTAAGTGAGTACAACCCAGACTTTCGAATAATCAACTTAGAGAGTGCAGTAACCACCAGTGACTCCCCGTGGCTATATAAAGATATATTGTTCCGCATGCATCCAAAAAATGTGGATACTCTAAAGAGCATCAAGGTGGATTGCTGCGTCCTCAGTAATAACCACGTACTGGACTGGGGATACTCAGGATTGGAAGAGACAATAAAAACCCTTCAAGACAACGGCCTTGGCTTCGTGGGTGCAGGGAAGAACATCTTTGAGGCCGAAAAGCCGGCAATATTTGGCCTTCGGAACGGCAAAGGGCGCATTGTAGTGTTTGGACGGTGTGAGAAATGGGCACATGTGCCTGCGTCGTGGGCAGCAACGCCCGACAGAGCAGGGGTCTGCACCCTGGCCATGGTAAATATATCTGAAGAAATCCAGTTGTTAACGGAACAGGTGAAAAAGGTTAAGAAACCAGGCGATCTCGTCATTCTGTCTTTTCATTGGGGAAGAAACTGGGACTGGACGGTTCCAGAATACCAGCAAAAATTTGCTCGTGCTGCAATCGACGTTGCCGGCGTTGACATCATCTACGGACATTCATCTCACCACGTGAAGGGTATAGAGGTTTACCATGGAAAACTCATCACTTACGGCTTAGGCGATCTGATCAATGATTTCGAAGGTTCGATCAACCGTTACCTTGCTCGTTTATCAGAAACATATCATTACGAATGGAACTTAATGTATTTTGCCGACTTCAACCAAGAGAACGGAAACGTCCTCAACCTTAAAATGGTGCCGACTTCGATAGAAAAGTTCCAGGTTAGAAGAGCCGACAAAGATGCCACAGACTGGCTCCATAAGCAGATGGACAAGTTGTGCAAGAAGTTGGGAGCAGGCGTGGAGAGAGTCGGCGACGAACTCCAACTCCTGATTGCTAATCCCCTCGTCAAGGGCGAGCTATAATACACGGGATGATTGTAATATTAACTTGGTCATTTGATGAATTGAATGCCCTAATGACCGGGCGTTTGATGGAGTGTTACCAACATAGCAAAAGGTTTATGACCGCATCGTCTTTTATTTCAATATATTATTAGAAAGACATAACCGTTATTCATGGAGTCAAATAAACAAGGAGGATAACTGGAATCATTACGGTTACGTGTTGTTATTTCAACCGTCTGGGTTCACTGACTTTTTGGAAATTAATTATTCGATCGCTTATCTATTTATTTATCACAGTAATTGTATTACTCAGCAATTTGCCCGTGATGAAGTTTGAGATGCCATAGTATTGTTAATGATACATGTATGTACAACTAAATTGCTACTCATCCTTACAAGCATGGTTGAACAATATGGCACCAGTCTGTCCCATTGACGTTGGATGGCACCGTTTCACCGATTTTGACGAACTTCACATTCTTCATTATATGCTACACAGGCATTCATTGTATATTCTGTATTCGCAGACAAAAATACGCATGCGGATAATAAATTATTATGCTAAGAGAACGCCTAAAGCATCTTGTACTATAGTAGTGTATTATTTTACTGAGCTTCTTGTACCTTGGTTAAATACTCGTGCGATCATTTTATTTCAATATAAAAGAGTTGTTAGCATTACATGTATATGGGTTTTAAAAGCTCTTTAGAAATACACAATTACGATAAAATGACACGCACACACACACTATGTGCATGCATAGGGGTGTGCAGATAAAAAGGACTGAAATATGGGGTTGTTCATACAATAAATTTTATTTTTAAACAATTTGACGGGGATGAATTTCCCCAAGCTATCTTATTTCCCACGTTGCGCTCGGGAGTCGCAGGCCAGGGTCCAAACGTTACAATATCATATTGTGCAAACATCTTTGTAACAGAACGTACATTTAGTCTATATAAAATTGAATATTTATTGTCCTATTGTCCTATAAGCACACACAGCAACATGAATCAGACTGTA